CCCCAAAACCCCAAAACCCCAAAACCCCATAATACTCAAGATCTATTGAGTAAGATTTTCTAATATGGAATCTATGAACTCTGTACATCTACAGAACTGAGACCTTCTTGTTCAAGTATTCCCTTGATTTTTATTTCATCAAGTCCGCACTTGCTAACCCTGATCTTCTTCAGAGCGGTCTTGAAAGCTTCATTTTTAGCGAGCCCCTTAATCAAGTTTGTAAATGCTTCTGAATTGGCCCAGTCTCCATATTTAGCCTCTTCCATGTTGCTGAACTGGAGTTCTTCGATGGTACACCCATCAAGTACAGAGCCAAAGTCAGGAGTCGAGGATAAGTTAATGTTGCAGGAGCTCAATGAGACACATGTCTTAGCTTTAAGCACAGAGAACAACTTCACAAGCATTTCTTGGTTAATGCTAAAATTGCCGACTGTGATCTGCTTCTCAGCCTTGCTACTAAGTGAGACAACTTCATCAATTGCTCCATCAATATCCTGAAGTTCAGGGTCAGAATTAAAGATAAAGACTCTGTCTTTATTCAAGGAGCAGCTGATGAGGCACTGAGCGCTTTCCTTGGCTTCTTCATCATTGTTTTTATCTTCTATATCAATGCCATGTCAAGAGTTCATGGAATGTCAAAGTTAAAATCTTCGAGAGGTTTTATTTAAAGCAAGATGATTAGATTTCAGAGAAATCCTGAAAGTTGATATAAATCAGCACAAACAGCTAATGAGAAGCTTCAAACTTTAACCGAAGCTTGAAGAGATTTGCCTGAAAGCTGATTCTATGATCGGAGGAGGATTCTGAAGAAAGAAAAGTACATATGTCAAGAAAATCAGGAGTTAAATAAAATCCATTATTTCAGCATTTTATCATGAATCAACCATTCAGTTTATAGGAATAGAAGAAAATTCTGGTAAGTCATCAGACTATTGTTCGACAAAGAAGGAACTGAAAGGATTAAATATTTGCCATCCATCAATTATATCTAATTTGTGTTAACCCAGCGCCTGGCTAAAGGTATCCCAATAGTAACTTTACTAAGGTGACAGTAATGGCTTTAAGCCTTGCCTACCTTCTTCTGAGGCACCCAATTTCGACAAAGGATCAGTCTTAAGACAAAGCGACTGGAGTGCTTTAACTTCTTCCTCAAGTGTCTTATTCTGACTCTCGCTCTTCTGAGCTTCTTCATTTTTACTCCTCACCTGAGCTACAACTTTCTGTGTAGCTTCTTCAATAGTTTTATGACTCTTTTCTTCCTCGTTCTTCATCTTCTCAGCTTCACTCTTAAAGGACTCTTGCAGTCTGGTGACTTTTTCTTCTCTGGCTCTTCTTGCCTCCTGTTCTTTTGCCTTCTGTGCCATCTCTAGTTGGGTATTCTCTTCTGTCAATGTCTGTTTGGTAGTCATCAACTGTGCCATTACCCCTTGAAGTACTTTCTGTTGGTCAGCGACTTGTGTCTTGGCTTATGTAGTCCTGGTAAGGGATTCTTGGTGTACTTCAGAACATGTTCTCTGCAGCCAGGAAGTGTATTGCTGGTAGAGTGCTTTCCAGGTCTTGAGGGATATTTGGGGGTTATCGTAGCTGCGGCTGTTTATTACGGTTTCAGTGTATTTTCTAGATGTGAAATCTGTGAAGAGGGGGTCTTCTTGGAGTTGGTCCAAGGTCTTCTTGATTTCAGTGTTGATTTCGAAGAAGTGGTAGTATTCTTTATTGTAGATGATTTCATTAAGCCATCTCTCGATCTTCCTGACTTCTTTATTGTATTTCTTGGCTAGCTGTGTCACCTCTGTTAGATTTCTGGAGTTATTATGTACTCTAAAGTACTCGCTCACGCCCACAATCGCAGTCTTCAACGTAATCAATCCCAGTTCCACTTGGCTATAAGGCACCAGCACAATCCTGGCATCCTCTGAATACGCAGCTTCATGAAATTCACAAATGTACAGTCCAAATTCTGGCAAGTACAACGCAGCTAGTGCATTACAGGAGTCGTATTCACACTTGAGATTATCCATTTATTTAGTAATTATAGTCTCAAATTAGGTGAGGCCTTATGGGGTTTTGGGGTTTTGGGGTTTTGGGGTTTTGGGG